ATGCCGTTCCTGCCTATTATCGCCTGGTTAAAAGGGGTATACACATGTAAATATACAATCTTAGTATACTAAGAACTACACAAAGCTAGGCATTTCTAGGAGAATAGAGGGGTTTGATAAAGAGTAGTTATGATCATAACAGTAGTGTAGTAGTGTTGACATTATAAGTTTGTTGGTGATCAAAGCAGTGGTACTTTCAGTGGGTAATACTGTGATAGTTAAAAAGGAGCACAAAATCCAGATTGAGTTGGGTTAAGAAGTGAAATATGGAGAATTTTTTTTTCCTTTTTAAAAACTTTGCCTCTATGGGAAGGAAGAGATTATAGAGTCATTTTTGTTAATAAAAAGCCATTGACCTGTTGAGAGAAAAATTTTAGTAGAGAAATAGGGTAGAAGCCGAATTTGAAAGAGTTTAGTATGAGTAGGATATGAAGAGATGAGCCAGTGAATATAGACTTAAGAAAATTTTGAAAGTAAAAGGAAGAAATATCAGATGCATGGTCTTTATTATTTTTATTTAAAGGAATCATATTCATATAAATTCAAACAATACAGACTTGAAGACAGTAGACACTCCCTTGGAGATATATCTCCATGTCCTACCTATGTCTAAAAATCACAATTATAGAAAAGCCAGATTTATCCTAAATCTAAGAGTTTCCACATCTGTGTATGTGAATGATTCATAGAGTTAAAGATCCCTCCTATTACTAAAATTCTAGTTATTGAAATTTTTCCTTATGAGACTTAGAACTGAGCATAGTAGTTCAGAAAGCCTTTGACTAGTGCTAGGGAAAATATGAAGATTGTCTTTGTATGATAGTTCTGCCAACACTTCATTTCAAGGAAATCTGAAATGTGGTGGGTTTTTAGTTCACATAAAGAACTGGTGGTGACAGCTAGGATGAAAATTCAGGTCTCCTAACTATTGTATGGTATTCTTCCTATTACAGTCTAATACCAGAACAAAGACAAAACCTTACAGCAGTGTAAAAAGAATCAATACTTAAAAAATCTGATAAAACTGAGGGATGATTATTTGTATTATAGAACATTCATCCTAATAATTATTTAATAGCAAGCTGGAGTTATACATTTAACTTTTTATGTAAATTGTGAATTTACACATTTAAACAAGTTCACAAATAATTTTAAGGAAACATTTGATGTGTAAATTAATATCTATATATGTTTAATAGTTGCTTTAGAAATTCTAGGTTGCTTAGCTTTTGGTTTATTGTAATCACTGGAACCTTTAGATGTATACTACTTCTCTTAATAGCTATTGCCTGCTAAGTACTTTTCATGTGTTATGGCTTAGTTCTTTGTCTTGATTTTCTCATTTAATCTTTACAACTATAAGAGGTAAGTATTCTCATTATGAGGAAGCTGAACTGAGAGATGTGATCAACTTGGAAAAGGCTGCATGTGCATCTATTAATAGTAAACAGGATAGAGTTAAAATTAAGACTGATCTCAGAGTTTCTGCTTTGCATAGTGATGCTCTTTTATATCACTATTATAAACTTTGTTTTCTTCTTTTTACTATAATGTAGTAATTCTTTATAAATCTCATTTTGATTCTGTTTGCTTCATTTTTCTATTGATACATAATAATCTTTGGGGGACAATGTGATATTTTGATATTTGTATACAATGTATAATGATCAAATTAGGACAATTAGGGTATCTGTCACTTCAAACATTTATCTTTTCTTTATGTTGGGGACATTGCAATTCTTCAAGCTATTTTGAACTCTCCAATACATTATTGTTAACTATAGTCACCCTGATATACTATCAAACACTAGATTTTATTCCTTCTATCTAACCATATTTTTGTACCCATTAATCAGCCTATGTTTAGAGACTAAAGAGCTTGGTTAATAGGCATATTACTTCATTTTGAATTTAAATCCAATATAGACTTGTCATAATATTCAGCATGATTTTTGTTGTGTTATTGATTGATCATTGATGAGGGTGTTAAAACATCCTCCAGTCCAGAATGGACCTTATGGCACACTACTTATGATTTTTTTGCCAGATTCACGTGGAATGCTTGCTAACTTGTGGGGTTTTGTATTTTACATTTAAGTGTAGGAAATGTTGAATGTAACCAATACGACTATTTTGTTGAGTACTAGAAACTTTATAATGTAATTTCATACAAAAGATTTGTGAATGACAAGTAGCTAAAAGCAGATAAATCTTAGATATTTTAAATTGAAACTACCAGAATATTTTATAATATTTTACCAAATATAGATTTGGTACTGCATTGCAAACTCTTTTAAACTATTAATGATATTGTAACTCTTTGTTACCTGCTTTTCTTTTGAAAATGATGAAACTACATTTTTCCCTTTCAAGACTCTTTTTTCCATTTGCCTAAGTTTAGAATTAGAAACCAATTAAGCTAAATGTCTTTTATGGAATGCTAAACATGGTGTCCTTTGTTAACTAGTTATGTATCTCACTTTTTAGTAGTATATGAGTGGTATTAAAAGTATTTCAGGATATTTTCACAGGGTAAATGCACATTCAAAGGAAGCAGTTTGAAGTCTTTGTTCAAGAAGTAAAAGGATAATAGCTACTGTTAATATAGTCTAATAAATGCCAGACTTTTATTTATCTGGAAGAAAAATGTCAGTTTTTGAGTTATTACTTTACCTGAAAATTGGCTAAAAGTGATTCACAGTATTTGATACCTTATTTTTTAAATTAACAGCTTAAACTACCAAATCTTAATATGATTTCGTTGATCTCAGTACCTTTTGCAGAATTTAATGGCTTTTCTAATGTGTAACCCCCTATGAAGGTATTCCCTGTGAGTAAAAAAACAATTAAGTGACCACCTAATTTGTAGGAGATGTGATGAGTTCAGGTAATATCTGAAATTTTCTATATAAATTTCATGAGAAGTAGCAAAGTATAAAGATAGTTCCATTTATATAATGATAATGTGCTTATAATTTATTATTGTAGTGACTTGATTAGAGACTAATTTATAAACCAATGGATTAGTTGATCCCAGTAATTATAGCTAAAATCATTTGAAAATAGTTGTGTGAAAACAGTCATCTGAAATATTAAATATTCAGTAAATATGAGCTGTCAGCTTACAGACATTATCTTGTTTAATCCTCATAATAATTCTGTGAGTTCAGAATATTATTATCCTAATATTGTAGGTAAAATAAAAGATGTTTGTCCCAGTTAAGTAACCCATGAGGTCATGTAGCCAGAATCAGGGTTCCAACCAAACCTTTCTCACTATGGGGCCTGGGTTCTTAGCTAGTAGACTAGATTGTGTTGAACTGTAATTTAACACTAAAGCTCTACTTTCAATTGCAATGAACTCTTCATAAAAATTTTTAACTGTCAAGTAGAGCCTAAGTGTTTTGCTCTGGAAGTATATACTTTTACTAAGCATGCCAATTAAAATATAACTCATTTAGTTTCAGCTCACTTATTCAGGATTTCTGATAATTTAATGTGATATGTAGCATTAAAAACGTATAAGGGCTAGGCATGGTGGTCTCACGCCTGTAATCCTAACATGGTGGGAGACTGAGGCAGGAAGATCACCTGAGGCCAGGAGTTCAAGACCAGCCTGAGTAACATAGTGAGATCCCATCTACAAAAAGAAGAAAAATTAGTTGGATGTGGTGGCATGTGCCTGTGGTAACAGCTACTCAGGAGGCTGAGGCAGGAGGATCACTTGAGCACAGGAGTTTGAGGTTGCAGTGAGCTATGAGGATGCCGCTGCAGTCTAGTCTGAACAACAGTGCAAGACCCTGTCTCCCCCCAAAAAAACAAGTTATAAGGGCTTCTTTATTTGAGATTTTTACCACTGACATTCAAGTAAGATATTGGTGGGAAGAGGGATTGATAGAATTTAATTTTATGTTATCAAGTATGAGTCATGAAACTTTTTTAGTGAAGGGCCACGTAGTAATTACAGTAAATGGCTTTGAGGCTATGGTCTCAACTCTTTTAAAGCAGCTGTAGTCAATGTTAAACAAAAGAACAGAACTGTGTTCCAATAAAATTACAAAAATAGGCAACAGCCTTGGGTTGGCACATTTGCCAACCCCTGTTATCCAGAATCTGGTAATTTCTCCAATTATAAACTAAAATTTATTTATGAAGAAACATCGTTTGTGCATAGTTTTCCTTTATTGAGTGTTTGGGCAAAAAGAAATTTGCCAAAAAAGTAGCAATATCATAAAGGAGAATGGGACTGGTACCTAATAGTAAAGAATACCTTTTTGGCATTTTTATGACTATTTAATTACTTTATAAATTATTTGATAATTCCAGAATATACTTATTCACTTATTTCTTAAAGTTATCAATTTTTTGAATCTTAAAAAACAAATCTACAATTTGGAGTTTTCACTAATTCTAATCATTTTTTCTCTTTATCATAATTAGAAAGGTTTACTGTAAAAAGATATGACACATAATTGGGTGATGATTTTATTTTATTAAATTTATTTTTAAAAAATGATATCAATAGACTTAGATAAAAGCTTGTATAAACATGTGCAATTGAATTGTTAAGTTAAGAAATCTAGCACTCTATTTTCAGTGTTACATTTTATAGATTTCTTATTACAAGCAGTTTGTTTTTTTGTTTTTTTTTGAGACAGAGTCTCACTCTGTCACCCTGGCTAGAGTGCTGTGGTGTCAGCCTAGCTCATGCAACCTCAGACTCCTGGCTCAAGCGATCCTCCTGCCTCAGCCTCCTGAATGGCTGGAACTATAGGCATGCGCCACCATGCCCAGCTAATTTTTTTTTCTATATATATTTTTCTTTTAGTTGTCCATATAATTTCTTTCCATTTTTTTTAGTAGAGACGGAGTCTCACTCTTGCTCAGGCTGGGACAAGCCTTTTGGTGCCACAAAATTTTAATAAATGTAAGTCATTTGTGGTATTGGCTAATATGGTATATTGAATATTAAATCTAGTGTATATACTTACTCTTTGCAGAGATTCGTCAGCGAACTGCAGCTCACAGAAACCTTTCTCCAACATCAGCAAGCCCTACCCAGGGCCCTCCTCCACAAGTTCCAGTATCTCCTGGACCACCAAAGGACACTTCAGCCCCTGGTGGACCCCCAGAAAGGACTGTTACTCCAGCTCTACCGTCAAATCTGTTACCAAGACATCTTGGATCCCCTGCTACTTCAGTGCCTGGAATGGGTAAACAGAGCACTTAATGTTATTTACAGTTTATATTGTTTTCTCTGGTTACCAATAAAACAGGCCATTTTCAGACAGTATGGAAATGGCATTTCATTTGGAAATAGCAGAGCAGTTATCTGATTAAGCAGGAGTTCCATATTCAATTAGCCATAACTCTTTACAGCTGGCACCTTGTGATACTGAAACCTATTTCTTGAGCTCATTTAACTGTTATGGCTGCTTTGTTTAAATGGTAATAAAACTTTGTAGTATTGTGTAGTCAACAGTATAGCATATCTTTTTATATTCAACTTTAGAATAACTCCAGATTTATATAAAATGGGGAGAGAACACTTCTGGAATGTATTCATGTTTTTTGCTAAACTCTGCACGTATATTTCATGAAGAATATTCCTGCATTGTAGTGTACAGTATTACTTATATTAATATGCGCTGGTAGATTTTTTTTTTTCTTTTTTTTTTTAAGGCATAGAACCTTAGTATTTCTGATAGATACTTTATAAAGTTCTATTAAATGATGTATTTCCTTAACTATTTTATTTCTTGGATTCTCTTTTTTCACTGTGGTAGCTTTTTAGGGAAAGATCCTGTTCTGGAGTGTAACAGACTATATTATCCTGTGGTTTCTTTGGAGTGTGATTGGGGCATAGAAGCCCACTGCTTTAGCAGTTCACGTTATTTTATGTAGATTTCTGTGTTGGATTATTGCTTATGATAGTAAATTATTTGTTTTGTTTTAGGTTATTTAATTCTAATTTAGAATAATTTATTTCATCACTAATTACTAACATAAATTATAATGATTTTGAGGCTAGGCTAGTTGATGTCAGGTAATCAGGGCATTTATGTAATAAAATCAATAAGAAATTTAAATACTACTTATGGTAGATTTTTTTCTTGTTTTCCTTTAAAAATGCAGCATAAGTTTTTAGAAGACTAGAAAACTTAATTTATAAACAAATTAAGAAAGCTGACTACAAAAGAAATATATACAAATCTTATAACTTTTAAAGTACCTATTTTAAAAAATACTTTTAAATTTGACATATAATGACAGCACTGTAAGGTAGCCAATGTATTTTATGAAACTGAGAAAAGTTAAATTGAAAATGACTCATCTTTCACTCATTATCTGGTTGATTTGAGATACTCTTGTTTGTAAGTTTAAATTCCTGATTGTTTAATTGAAAGAACTTATTTTGGAGAAAATGCATGAATCTCATACATTTGTGTATCTAAATGATTTTAAAGAAATAAAAGTTTAGCAACTTACAATAGTAATAAAAACTGTATTGCACATGTAAGAATAGGGCTATAGAAGGAACAATGGCCTAAATTTCATGATCATGTAAATGTAACATATTTTACTGAATTTTTAAATTATTAAATAGTTTCTGTGTGAAAGACTGTTTAAATTGTACATTGCCAAAAATATGAACAAGTTAAGTGATTTATTATTGATTTTTTCATTATACCATATTTGTGGAAGAGAATCAATTTAATGTGTATTACCACAGGGCTCCCATATGTCTGAAAATTAATAACCAGCAGGTACTTGATAATTTGCCAAGCTGTGTAAAAATGACCAGTATTCCTACAATGATTGCTTTTGATGTTTGTATTAATTACTGTTGTCTATAACAGCATGAGTATGAAGATGCATTATTTTGAAGGTTATTAATGCGCATGAAGTTTAAGATGTTTTTATGAAATCTGTTGTTTTATGTATCCAGATTCTTTTATGGACATATTCATTTTAAATATGTAGAAGTAAAATACTCTAGCAAAAGTTAAGTTGGCTTAAATGCTTTCAAAATCTAATGAGGCTTGCTTATTTAAGTTGAAAATTTGATAATGAAGTATGATAGTGTTTTGATTCAAGCTTATTTTTCAATGATAATAATTGAATCTTTTTTATTGCATCAAGTAAAGCAATAACTTACCTGATGAAATCTTAAAAATATACTTTATTTGTATTACTAAGGACTTGTTCCAGAACCTAACTTTTTGTTTACTAATAGCTATATAATTTTGATATCCGTTGACCTTTTAGGTTTGTGATTGTTTACAAAGCAAATCTCTATTCCTTCTTAGGTCTGAGAAAAAGAAGAAGAAGAAAAAAAGACAAAGCAAATCTGTTTTTTAAATTATTAATACTTTAAAATAATATAGTATTACTGTCCTAAAGTAAACTTGAACGCTTTAAAGTTTTTGTCACAAACATTTTGAAACACTTATATCCTTATATTGCAAGGCTTATTCCAACAGGGTTCCATTTTGTTTCAGTTTTCTGTGAGGTCTCCATGTAAACCTCCATTGCAGCCCACTTTATTATGTTCATTCTGTCTTGTTTTACAAAGGCAAGCATCGCATTTTATTTATTTTCTCACTTCTCAGTGCCTTCTTCTTCTGCAAACAGTTCTGTTTTAGTTTGTAGAAGTCATAGAGTTACAATTCAAGAAGTTTGAATGTGTAACTCTTTATTTTTGTTATTATTTTTATATAATAATTGTTTTAGAATTAACTAAATTCTGTGTTCTTTTTCCACTCTCCATTAGTCTTTTCTGATGTTGCCTAATTTATATTAGATGTACTGTATGGAACACAGTATAACTCTCCATTTATTTAGGTCATTAATTTCTCTCAGCAATGTTTTGTGGTGTTCACTTTATAGGTTTTGCATATTTGGGGGTTAAATTTACATCTAATTATTTCATATTTTTGATGCTGTTATAAGTGGTATTGTTTTATTAACCATTTCTAACTGTTCATTGCTAGTTTATATAGAAATACAATTGATTTTTATAAATTGATCTTGTATCCTCTAACCTTGCTAAATTTATTTATTGGTTTTGGTAACTTTTTTATAGATTACATAATATTTTCTACGTAGATAATCACATTGTGAATAAAGAAAATTCTACTTCTCCCTTTCCAATCTGATTTCCTTTTATTTTTCTTATTACACTAGCTAGAACCTTCAGTACAATGTTGAATAGAAGTGATAGCAATAGACCTTCTTGCCTATTTGTTGATCTTATTGGAAAAGCTATTATTTTTTCATCATTTAGCATGATGTTAGCTCTAGGGTTTTTGGTTTTTAGTTTTAATAAATACCCTTTTTTCAGGTTGAAGTGCCTGCCTATTCTTAGTTGGCTGAAACTTTTTATCAGTAATAGATGATGGATTTTGTCAGATGCTTTTCTGAATCTATTGAGATGTTCATATTGGGTTTTGTTTGTTTCTTTGTTTTAACATTTATTCATATAGTGAATTACATTGATTTTTTAAATGTTAAACCAACTTGCTTTCCTTGAATAAATCTCACTTGATCATGATGTATTGTTTTATATGTAAATTGTTGGGTTCAATTTGCCAACATTTTGTTTAAAATGTCTACATCAATGCTTATTAGGGATATAGGTCTGTAGCATTTTTTTTTCTTGTCATATCTTTGGTTTTGGTATCAGAGTTATGTTGGCCTCATGGTATGAGTAAGTAATCCATCTTTGATTTTTCTGGACAAGTTTGTGTAGAACTGGTATTAATTCTTCCTTAATTTAAATGTTTGGTAGAATTTACTGGTTGAAATGTCTGGGCCTTTGTTTTCTTTGTGGAAAGATTTGTTTGCTGTTTTAACTAAAGATTCAATTTCTTTCATTAAAGAAAAACTATAAGGCCGGGCGCGGTGGCTCACGCCTGTAATCCTAGCTCTCTGGGAGGCCGAGGCGGGCAGATTGCTCAAGGTCAGGAGTTCGAAACCACCCGGAGCAAGAGTGAGACCTCGTCTCTACTAAAAATAGAAAGAAATTAATTGGTCAACTAATATATATATATATATATATATATAAATTAGCCGGGCATGGTGGTGCATGCCTGTAGTCCCAGCTACTCGGGAGGCTGAGGCAGCAGGATCGCTTGAGCCCAGGAGTTTGAGGTTGCTGTGAGCTAGGCTGACGCCATGGCACTCACTCTAGCCTGGGCAACAAAGTGAGACTCTGTCTCAAAAAAAAAAAAAAAAGAAAAACTATAGATGAATATGACCTGTAGATATAAAAATTCTTAACAAAATTTTAGTAAATCAAATAGTTATCTTTTTTTGAGTGATCTTTGATAGTTTGGTAGTCTTTCAAGGAATTTGTCCATTTCGTCTAACTTGTAGAATTTATTGACATAAAGTTGTTCATAATATTCCCTACTATCCTTTTTTAATACCTTTATAATCTAGAGTTATGCTGTCTCTCTCATTTCTGAAACTAGTATTTTATATCTTCTATCTTTTTCCTGATTAGTCTGAGGTGTATCAGTCTAGAGGTTTATCAGTTTTATTGATCTTCTCAAAGAACCAGCTTTTCACGATTATTTTTGTATTTTCTACTTTATTCATTTCCTCTGTGATCTTTATTATGTCTTTTGTTTTCATTTTTGCTTATTTTGGATTTCTTCTTAGTTTTTTAAAGTAGAAGCTGAAGTTACGGATTTTAGGCCTATCTTCTTTTGTAATATAGGTGTTTAGTGTTATATATTTTCTTCGAAGTACTGCTTTACTGCATATCATAAATTTTGATATGCTTTTCTTGTTTTCATTCAATTCAAATTATTTTCTAATTTCCCTTTTGATTTTTCTTTGAATCTGGATTATTTAGATGTATGTGATTTAGTCTGTAAATATTTGGAGATTTTTCAGATGTTTTTCTATTGGTGAGTTCTAGTTTAATTCTATTGTGGTTAGAAAACATATTTCTTCTTATTTGAATCTTCTTAAATGTAGCAAGACTTGTGTTATGACCCAGAATGTCATGTCTTGGTTAATCTTTTTGGTCACTTGAAAAGAACATATATTTATGGGGAATTGGGACTGGTTCTAGGACCACCCAAGCAGATACCAATATCCATAGATTCTCAAGTCCCTTATATAAAATGGTGTATAACTTGTATATAAACTATGTACATCCTTCTATGTACACTTTTTTTTTTTTGAAACAGGGTCTTGCTCTGTTGTCCAGGCTAGAGTGCTGTGGTGTCACCATAGCTCACTGCAACCTCAAATTCCTAGGTTCAAGCAATTTTTCTGCCTCAGCTTCCTGAGTAGCTGGGACTAGACATGTGTGCCATCATACCCGACTAATTTTTCTATTTTTATAGAGACAGGATCTTGCTCTTGCTCAGGCTGGTCTGGAACTCCTGACCTCAAGCTATCCTACCACCTTGTCCTCCCAGAGTGCTAGCATTACAGGCATGAGCCACTGCACCTGCCCCCTCCTGTATACTTTAAATTATCTGTAGAGTACTTATAATATCTAATACAATGCAGTCAGTTATCTTTTAAGGTGATTTAAAGAATAAAAAAAAGTCTTATATATTTACTCACATAGCAACTATTTTAAATTCTCTATTCCTTTGTGTAGATCCTGCTTCCTGTCTACAGTTACTTTTCTTCTGCCTGCAGGACTTTTATTAACATTTCTATAGTGCATGCAGTTCTGCTAGTGATGAATTCTTTCAGTTTTGTATGCCTGATTTAGTCTTCATTTTGCCTTCATTTGACAAAGATGTTTACACTGGATACAGAATTCTCATTTGACAGTTTTTTTCTTTCATAACTTTAAAGATATTGTTTCACTGTCTTCTGGCTTACTTCCTTTCTGATGAGAAGTCTGCTGTCATTCTTTTCTCTGTTTCTCTGTATATAATGTATCTTTTTCTGGCTGCTTTTAAGATTTTATCAGTGGTTTTAAGCAACTTGATGATGCTCTGTTGTGTGATAAAATTATGTTTTTTATGCTTGGGCTTTGTTGATAGTCTTGGATCTGTGGTTTTATTGCTTTCATCAAATTTGGAAAATTTTTATACATTTATCTTCTAATATTTTTTCTTTTCATTTCTCTCCTTTTCTTTATGGACCCCAGTTGGATGTATATGAGGCTGCGTGAAGTTGTTCCACAACTTGCTGATGATTTTTTCAATTAAAGAAATTTTAAGTCTTCTTTGTGTTTCATTTGTACTGTTTCTATTGATATATTTTCAAGTTCACCAATATATTTTTTCTATAATGTCTAAGCTGCTTTTCATATCATTTGTGGATTTTTCATCGTAGACATTATAGTTTTTATCTGTAGAAGTTCAATTTGGGTATTTAAAATTTTTTCCACGTGTCTACTTAAAATACTGAATCTTTCCTCTAGATTCTGAAAACATATGAAATATAGTTATTAATATAATAAATGTCTTGACATCTTTGTCTACTAATTCAATCATCACTATCATTTCTGGGTCAATTTCAACTGATTTATCTTATTGTAGGTAGTATTGTCCTACATTAGCATGTCTAGTAATTTTTTATCTAATGCCAGACATTATGAATTTCACCTTACTGAATGCTGGATTTTTTAAACCCTTATATGATATTCTTCTGAATACTTGACTCAATCTCCTATGTGTTAAGAAGTTTTCCACTCTGGCTGGTAGAAACAAGGAATATTCTTGCCCTTGTGTGAACAGTTTCCTTTAATTTTTTTGAGTGGTTCTGTTTTGATCCTCAGATAGTTTCATCACATGCATACACCAATCAATATTCTGCTTATTACTATGGGAGACTCTTTGCAGATCTGTGGTGTTCTTTCTCCGTGCCTTTTTTCTTCTTCAGTACTTTTTCCTGTGAACTTGAGCTACCTTGGCCTCCCTGGAGTTCCAGCTCTGTCTCCAATACTCTGAGAGACTGCTACACTTCACCTGGGTTTACCATTCTTGTGCAGATTCCTGGAAACATTTTCTAGGCACTAAACTGGGGGCATTCGTAGGGCATGCTTTGTGTTTAGTCTCTCGGGGAACATTAACCTACATTGCCTGATATACACTGTCAGGCAGTGTATTAAAACTGTATCAGTGTATTAAAATTGTTTCTTCATATGTTCTGCACAGTTTTTTAGTTACTTTATGTGGGAAGGTAAATCTGACCCCTGTTACTTTATTGTGGCCCAAAATGGAAGTCCCCTAATGTATTACACAAGCTTTTAAGAGTTGGGCATTTTTAAAAATTTGTTTTTACAGAACCAAATGTAGTTTCATTTTCTAATAGATTATATTGGTGGTTCTGATATAGTACATATTTAAATATGTTTTTGTAGGACAGTATTTTTAATGAAAATTTGAATATTCTACAGAGATTTATAAGAATTAATATTTTACTGTTAGAACTTTTAAGAGTTCTAACAAGCATAAGTAGTTCTTGGTAACTGAATTAAATTTTATATATATATGTTTTATACATGTAAATTTATATGTATTTGTGTATTTAATAGGTCTTCATCCTCCAGGTCCACCTTTAGCAAGACCCATTCTCCCTCGAGAACGAGGTGCTCTGGATAGAATTGTTGAATATTTAGTTGGTGATGGTCCACAGAACAGGTAATGTTTACTAGGGTGTTAGATAAATGAAATGAAAAGATTTATTGGTCATAGTACGTGTGCTGCACTATATGATCCACAGTTTTGTGGCTTCTGTTTCCTGATTTTAGAATATAATAGAGTATTTTATAGCTCTGCAAAAGAGTACATATTCAATTGTTTTACAGTAGGAATTTGGACAAAATAGTCTAGATAAAAACCATTTGGAAAAAATATTAACTCTGCTATAATATTATTTTTAGAGAAATAGAATTTTTTAAATGGAACTTTTAAACTTGAAGGCACAAAAATAGTAAAATCCTGGTAGGTTGTAAGAAATGGAGTTTTTTAGGTATCAGTGCTGGACTTGGTGATGATAATACTTTTAATAATGTTAAGAACAATTTGCATATATTTAGCACTTAACAGGTCTCAAAATACTTTTCTAATTATTACTTTATTTCATCCTTTTGATAACTCTTGGAAGATAGGTATGATATGTGCAGAGCAGTTGACAAAGTATAGACTTTAAAAAAGTTCATGGGATAGTAGAGTAGATGTTTGACAACTTTACAAGTTAATATTATAATTTTAATAAAGGGACTATAATTTAATGTTAGTATGATAAATTATGTTATTCAAAAATAGAATGGTGTTTGATAGAGCCAAATATTTGTTGATTACATACACACAGAATAGAGAAAGTATATAAATAGAAAATGAGGAAGATGTTTAAGTGTAACTGGGAAAGGTGTAGGAATCATCATGTATAGAAATTAACCTTTAGACTAGACTAAACAAAATTAAATGTATTTTTTTTTTTTTACTGCAAGACTTCTCAGAGTCAGGTTTTAATAATATTTAGTATGAATCTCCAACAGAGTTCCATCTTTTTCAGTCTTATCTAATCACAAATTTGGGGAATTTAATCCACGTGTGAATATACATTGGGAAACACCAAAATTCAAGTGTTGTTATCAAATATGTTTCTGCTAACTTAGTAAGGATATATTCATTTTAAGTGTTTTAAATTTGATATATAAATAATATTTTAAAATGGTCAAAATGTTGCTTTTATTTAAAGAGTATTGTTTATGGTTTACTAAGTAACATCTAATCTGTTATGTCATATTTAACTATGTTAAAATATAAATTAGCCATGATGGCTAAAATAGTTTCATGAGCTTTGCATTTGTAACTGGTGCGTTCTTTTTTTTTCCCAATGGCTTAGATATGCACTTATATGTCAGCAGTGTTTTTCTCACAATGGCATGGCTTTGAAGGAAGAATTTGAATATATTGGTAAGAATTATTAAGTAGTTAGATTTAAATATTTTACTCTTAAACATTTTATTCTATGCCACTTTCCATGTAACGTCATCTTATTTTAGATACTGTCTCTGTATGTATTGGTTAGGCATATTGTCCTTATTTTGGTACACAGAGCAAAGCAGGGAATATAATGTATATATAACGTATAATCTCATATATAATCTCTAGGCCAAATCTCCCTGTGCATCAGAATCACCTGAGGAGCTTAAAAAATTACGATACCCAGGATCCACCTGGACAGAGACTGCTTTAATTGATCTGGGGTGGGGTCCAGGCATCAATTTTTTTTTAAAGCTCAACAGATGATTCTCATGTGTAGTGCCTATTAAAAACAACTGTGGTAAATTATGATTCTGAAATATGACATACTACATTTTCTTGGGCAAATGAGCAAGGTTCTGAATTTTAAAATACCTAATGATTCTGGTGATTATCAATTAATTAATAATAAATTAAATAATTAAATTAAAATTAAATAATAATTTAATATTAATATTACCAATTAATGAATCAATAACCACTGATTATTAAAATAATATTATATATTAATATATTATTAAAATAATTGGTGATTATTAATTCATTGATTGGTAATATTAATATTACATTATTATTAATTAACAATCAGTGATTATTAATTCATTAATTGGTAATATTAATATTAAATTATTATTAATATTATTTTACTGTCAATCTGCTATGTAACCTGTTACATAGTTAACCTGCTATGTATCTTATTCTGCTTTTTCTGCTTTAAAATTTAAATTCTAATTCTGATAATAATTAGGAAGCATGCTTTAAAGTTAGCTTTGATTAGAATACCTACCACAATATTATTAAAATAACATGTGAATTTCACAAGGGATAAGTAACTTTTGAAGTGTTCTTTGAACATCTGCAAAAATAATAATGTGAGTTATCTGGTTAGTCCTTGAACTTTCTTTGGTTTGTGGTTTTACTTATTTTTTAAAAATTCTCTGCAGCTTTTCGATGTGCCTACTGTTTTTTCTTGAATCCTGCAAGAAAAACCAGACCCCAGGCTCCAAGACTTCCAGAGTTCAGTTTTGAGAAGAGGCAGGCATTGGAAGGCTCAAGTTCAGTTGGTCCCTTGCCATCAGGAAGTATGCTTTCATCAGAGAACCAATTTAATGAAGGTATGACTATTTAAACAGTTTTTAATCTTAATGTGTGCTATTTAACAATGAAGCCTAATGCTTTTAGGTAAGAATGAATTAATTTATCAGATTTTACAGCATGTATATATCAGCTGTTGTTCTGATACTGTAGCCTCCTGTGTGATTGCTATGATGTCTTTCACTTTTAATATGCAGGTTATATTATGATAAACAGCATCTAGCATCAGATAGGTAAACATTGTTTAAGGAATGATCTCTTCTAAAAACTGCTGGGAGATTTGATTAGCAGTATTTTCATGGGATCTTGTTTTCAACTCATCTAGGTAAAGCAGATTATTGGAATTATGAAACAACCATTCAGAGTATAAAATACTTATAAGATTTTTGATTAACATTGGTTAAATATGTTTATGTCTACCACTTGAATTGGTAGAAATTACCAGAAAGCAGGAAACTTTGGAATTGTAAAGTCAACATTGCCTTTTTTGGATGACTATATGAATAGAACTTGTATTACATTGAAACAAACAATTTATAGAAGACCACAAGATTAACATTACCTTTGATGTAATGATTTTAGAAAAACTGAATTCATTAGAATTTACTCGGTTTTAGAATTCATCCTACAGTTCTGTTTTTAAGAATTCTTGGGGAAGTTTCATAAAAAAATGGAAAAGATAAGGTAGAAGATTTGACTATTAATTGCCAACTATTTCTTGCTACAATATTAAATTTGGTCAGGAACTCTTTGTTAAGCAGTTGTGAATTATGGAGATTGCTAAAATTATGAGACAGGCCATGACATTTAGGGGTTATGTCTAGTACAGAAAAAAAGGTATATTGGAAATTTAGTTTGCATAATTTATTTCCCAATCAGTATTCATTATTTTAATTTTTAGGAATTATCATTTACATATATTTGATTTCTTCTTCATAAAAACATTCAATATTGCAAAAGTTGCTTTAACTGAGGATATTATATGAGGCAATGGATTTTCAGATATCAGAAATTTAGCATAAAATTTGAGTATCTTTTTATTTAAACTTGGAAGAGTGAACCTAAAATATGTGTGTTGAATTGGGCTTGGCTTTTGTCTTACTAACAAATATTAAAATGAATTTGAATACAAATAGCTATATCAGAGGCCTGTGATTCTTCCAACACCGAATCAGTACGTTTATCTTCTTCAAGTCTGCAACATCAACTCCAAACACAGTAAAATTTTTTTCTCTTGCTTAAGTCATGCTCTGAGCCACATGCTGTCGCATGCAAACCGCCTGCCTTGCCATTGCAACCTCTTGGAACTGAAAATTAAAGGAGTTCATCTGAAGATGCCTAAAGGAAAAATTGAAGTCCTTTCCATGAGTAACCTTGCTTATGAAAGCTAAAGTGAATATGTGAAAGCCAGTAGTTGGGACGAAAAGAAAAGCAAAGGAAAAAATGGCCAACAAAATAAAAATCTTGATAATGAGTCCCATGCGTTATATCTTCTGCTAAGGTCGAGATGGATAGTTAGCAAACAACACCCAGCTATACCTTTCCTTCTCATCTAATCTAGGAGGAGCAATACCCCAGATGTCTCATTTTCTGTCTGAAATCTCTGGACTGAAGTCTAACTGTGTCAGACTCAACCCCAATAAGGTAATGTTAATAGGTGAAGACATACTTGAGGCAGGGTCTGATAACTCCCTAGTGCTAAAAACTGAAGCAACCATTCCATTTGGTTAAGATAGTTTCTAGAGTAGCAAGTTTCATACTTCTTTTTGGATTCACCAAAGTGGCCATGAGCTTCTTTTTCTTCTTTGGCTTTCCAGAAGACTGAAATTTTTCTCAAGACTCCTATATGAACACTATAACACAGAGTTATGGATTTCAAGCTGAATTCCTTTAGTAAATTACTAGAAATATTTCTGATGAACAGAGGAAGCTGCGTTTGTTTTGAACACTGGTGGCATACTCTTTTTTTGATCAAAATGAACTTTTAAGTAAGACCATACCATCTCAACCATCTACTCTGTGCTAACAGCCAATGTAACTGGGATTTTAGATTTCTGATTTCTAAATTATTAGATGATACAGAAACTTGAGATTTGAAAAAAAACCTTTCCTGCTTTAATCTATATATTATTAAAAACATTGAAATAGCTCCTTGATAGCAACAGGGACTGTAGAGATTAGGTTATTGTATTTACAGATGGAACCAAAAGGTAACTTTCTTCCATCTGAATTTTTCTTTTCACAAACATCAGTAACCTAGAATTAATGGAAGAAACATTTTTTTCAATCTATGATGTAAGACTGGAAATGAAGTTTTGTTTGGATTCTGATACTGAAAGATTTTGCATTTAGGATGAGGTACAAGGCTTTTATAATTTCTGGACCACTCTTCATAAAAACATATGGAATCTTAGAAAGTTTTTATTGAAGATGGAGACCTAGAAGACATTTTTCCCATTAATTGCTCATTGGAATTCCTTTTCTATCTCAAATCTCCAGAATGAAGTCTAACTGTGTCAAACTCAACCCCAATAAGGTCATGTTAATAGGTGAAGACAAAACTTGAGGCAAGGTCTGATAACTCCATAGTACTAAAAACTGAAACAACCATTTTTTCTAGGACTTTATATCCAGAAGCTTTGGTAATAGATTATTAAAGAAACATAAGAAATTAAGGATATGGATTGTTTTTTTCTCTGAGAGCATATTAGATATGGTATGCCAGGAAATTAACTGCTTTTGGATTCCTCAGTTTCTTTTATGATAAAGTACACTAATATCTGAATCTCCACTAAGTTACATTAAAGTGATTTATCAATATTGCCTTTTTAAAACCAACATGTGCCTTCTGAAAAACCTGGTACATAGCATTCTTTTCGTCATATGTGATAATCATTAGAGTACTAGATTTCTATATTGTTCATATACTAGTGCAGTGATTTTTGGCTATTATGTTTAAAAAATGTCAATATCATGTTTTCATTGCTCATTGTGCTTGTCTAGGTCTTATATAATTATTTTAGTATAAAATAAGTTTTTTAATCCAACTGGAAATAACTCGCTAATAATAAAACTCATGACATCTAATTAATACCATCAAAATAGCAGGTAAAATTTATATTAGGTGAAATTTATCTTAATCTGTTTTCTGTCCTTCCTTTACACACAATACTGTTACCATTAAGTTGTATAGAACCAGGGAAAATTCTATTTTTAGTGTTTTTGTTATGATGCTCTAGGAAACTGAACTATTTGATAATATAAATATTGTTGAATTCTGTGTATATACCAGATCCAAAAAACATACCTTTGTTTATATTTACTGAAGATGTAAACTTGCTTGTAGTATGTTTTTGCATGTTTGTTTTAGATAGAGATCTTTTGGCTTTCTGACTCCCTTTTCTAAAACACCTTCACCTAGTAGTTTAGTTTTAGATCATTGCTTAATCATGAAACTCTTAACTTGTCTAATTGATTAGTTTACCAATGGTAAATAATTAAATGATATTCTTTGTGTTGAATACTACCTATTTTCTCATGGTTATAATTTAATTGAATTTTATTCATGGAGTCATTGGGTTGGAATTGGGATGAAATTCATGCCTTTGTTTCTTAATAAATTGACCATTTTCTTTGAGGCAGGAAAATTTTTTAGTCTTCCATATATTCTCTGAAATATAGTACAATATTGACCAGAAAACTTTGTATATCCTTTTATTTTCTAATTATTATTATTATTTTTTTGAGACAGAGTCTCACTTTGTTGTCCAAGCTAGAGTGAGTGCCATGGCGTCAGCCTAGCTCACAGCAACCTCAAACTCCTGGGCTCAAGTGATCCTCCTGCCTCAGCCTCCTGAGTAGCTGGGACTACAGGCATGCGCCACCATGCCCGGCTAATTTTTTGTATATATTTTTAGTTGGCCAATTAATTTCTTTCCATTTATAGTAGAGATGGGGGTCTCGTTCTTGCTCAGGCTGGTTTCGAACTCCTGAACTCGAGCAATCCGCCAGCCTCGGCCTCCCAGTATTTTCTAATTATGACAGCACATTGAATTCTTATATTACAGGCATTTGAAAATTCCACTGTTACAGTTCTCTTCTTTGTATTAATTGCTTTTTAGACCCTGTAATTTTTAAATTAAATCAACTTTGATTTAAAGGGTCTGTTTTGGCAAATAGTAACATCACAAAACTTTAATATGATAAGCCTTGAATTTTGCTACATCTCCTGTTTCAATACAGTGTTGAGACAGTCTGTCAGAATATGACAAACTATGTGGGCCTTTGTTCAGTTAAACATGTTTATTGGTGAGTTGAGTTCTTGATCCTGAGGTTTTTGCTTTTCTATTTCTTATGGCTTTATAGGTTTGTTTCAGAAGGCTTATTAAACTATAACAAATTGTAAGTCCTTGCCAAGTAAATATTGCTGTATGGCCAGAGAGTTGTGGAAAACCATGACTCTTTAATTCTACCATGAATAAATTCTGTGAGGATAGAATTACAAATGGTTGGTGACTCTTGAAGTTTTCCATGGAAAAACTTGCTTGTTGTAGCAGAAATGATTTGTACATGTCCATAGTTTTATTTGCCCTTTCTGCTTTTTCTTTGTGCCCTGGAACATTGAAATAACAAAACTCGAGTGACTTACTGCTTTTCTACCTTGGATTTTTTTAAGATTCCAAGTTGTGCAGCAGTGCCATTTTAAGTTTCCTATTAAGATACAAGCAGGGTTTTTTATGAAATTTAGCACAAGTATGATTATAAACATTCCTCACTACACTTTGTGATTATATGAAGTTTTCATACAGTAAAACCTCATTAAGTTGGATGTCCCTGATTTGGGCCTTTATTCTACATATAAAAAGGAAGAAAGAAGGTGGTTATAATTAATTCCACAAACCAGAATCCAAGGTATCTGCTTAAGGAAGTAATTCTCTTTAAATATTTTTAAAGTCTTGGCATAGAGTTTGTGAGTTGTAGATAATTTGTATTTATTAAAACTGGTATGGTAAAACCATGAATTTCTAAGATTTCCATGTTAACATGTGTGCATATAACCATAATTTCTTTATAAAGCTATTAATTAATTTTATTTGTTTAGCAAACTCTGGCCTGTACTATATAAGGAACTTAACTAGAACTTTTTATTAAGTAGGCTGGCCTTCCCTGCAGATTTTTTGAATCAGTAATATTTGTAATATATCATAAGGGATGTTCTATGAGGATAGAAAAATCTGCTTTTTTGCTTACCTGACGTGGTTTAGTCATATTTCTCCTTGCAAGGATATTAATTACTATTTATTACAAAAACAAAACAAATACTTCAAAGCTAGATTTTTATCTTTGACTTGGAAATTGGGTGACCCAAAATTTGTCTGCTCTTGTCATTCCCTTCCCCATCCTGTTCTTTAAATTTCAAATAATTAAAGGCAGTTCATTTAATAAAATTCTTATTATTAAATTATTATTAAGGGATTTTAATTTAATAAAATTCAAAAAGAGAGTGTAAAGGGAGTAAATTTTCAAATAGGAACCAAGACCCTTACTTAGCTTCATCTATGGAGATGGGGGAAAATGACCCTTCCCTTTCCTTCCTTAGGATGCTAGATATATAACATCTTCTAACTCAGATGTTAAACACAGAGGATTTGTCTTACAAAGGGATGAAGGGAGACTTGTCATGCCTTTGGGAATGGTGGATTCTGACTTTTCGAGTCATTGGGTAATAGAGATGTACATCCATGTGAGAAAGCACAACCCACACAAACACGCACAAAAAAGTATACATTTACACATTGCTCACAGGGTGGCCAGGGCACAAGGGAAACAGTTCCTTTGGAAAATATAATCTGGGAGTTAATACATTTGCTTTGTATGCTGGACTGGTGTCTTATAGTAAATATTAATAATTCTGTTGGGACTTTGATTTTCAAACATTCAACTTTTAAATCTGTCTTTAGGAATTTATTTTGTTTAAAAGTATGGGAAATTAGATAAAAGTATGTTTATGAGTTTATTTCCTCCAAATTTTTTTTTCTTCAATCATACTAACTCATAAATGGTATGCTATATAGGGAGTTAGGTACTTATTTTTAAAGATTTTAAGGATAATGTTAGACAATGCTGTTTCTTAGTCCATGTGTTTGTGTATGTATGTGTGTATATTTATTTTTTGCTTGCCTTATTTAGCAGCTTTAATATTTAGGTATTCCTAAAATTTTGAATCTTTATCTTTTTAGAATCTGTAGAAGAACAAGATGTTCTTGATAATAGTACAGAGCAGACAGATGACAAAATATCAGCCACAGAGCAGGCAAACCAAGTGATTGAAAAAGCATCTGGCTCAGAGGAACCAGAGGAGAAACAAGAAGAGACCAAGAATGAGGAAACCTCAATGAATGAAGCCAAATCAGTAGTTTCCAGAGATGACTCTATTCCTAATTCTGAACCAAGTGAAGAATCTTTGATGGCAAAGTAGTAAATGCTTCCATGTGCCTTCAACTGGATATTTATAGTCTTGTTGATGTCCGTTATTGCTTTTTAAGTGGTACTCCTTTCTTTCCTGCCCCTCTAAGAATCTGTTTGGTATCATTTGAATTCAGGTTGCCTAGCTATTTGAACATGTCAAGGTTACATGTACTGGGTATTAAAATTAAAAGCAAGTGGTATCAGTGAAGTAAGATCCTTTTTAATGTACAGAGACCCACACTATTTAGACAACTTTTCGATATTTTTTTGTCCATTCTAAAAGTAAACAAACATAATAACATTTTTGTTTTCTATGTGTATAACCTGTAAATATCCATTTTGACATAGGAAGAACTTTGGTTAGGACTAAATTCTCCAATAGTGTTTGTTTTAAGAAATGAAACCCAATTAAGATTTTGAATGCTTCATTATTAAAAATGGATAGAATTTTAACTCTTAAGGTATTTGCTAGCAGGGGGAAATGTCTATTTAGGTGTTACATTAAGTAGTATGACAGTTGTGACTGTAACTACATAGACATTGGTATGAATTCTTAATAAGAATGCAATTGTACAATCAAGTGCAGTATTTCTTTTTGATATCTTTTATTTTGCAGCTGGGCCAGAGGCACATGATGTATATAATTAGTTTATGTTTACATAGTAACATAGGAAATATCTCTGCACTTGACTGTACTTGAATTCTGAACATTATTTATACTTGTAAAATGATGATATATAAGTGAATTTTGTGCTCTTGTGTGTATATTTTGTTTAGGAAAATAAAGATAATCTGACAGCAGTTTCTTTTTGTTAAATATCTAGACTTCTTCAAACAGTATCTTGGTGGATAACTTGGCTACTTGACAAACCTTAGTAGAAAGAACTCACAGTAGAATAAATCTGTAGATTCTGCTTAGAGCAAATTATGATGCTTTTATTCAGGCTTGTTGCCTTCCACATTCAGAGAAATAGTAACAGTTAGAGGTTCTAATCAGAGGTTAGGTTTTTCTGATTCAGGAGCATCTTAGGCCAATTTGTAATTTTTAACTTTCAGAAACAAGTTTTGTGAGAACAGGCAGTTTTTGGCAGTTCATTGGATTTAATATTTGTACTAAGGAATAACTGGGAAAAAATGTTTACCCAGAATGGTAATACTTTGGACCTTAAATACAGTGTGATTATCTTTTATAGCATCCTTTTATCTTTATTTTCCAATATTGAAAAAAATTGAAATCAAGTTATGCCAAAGGGAGGACTATATTATACCTATGTGAGAATAGTGTGTCTGGCTAATGTTTCCACATTGTACATAGTTTATTAAAAATCAAATAAAATATTTTTAGCATTTAATTATTTTTATGATTTAGTATCTTGTATATGATAGGTATTTTTAAGGAACCCAGTCTTAGGCGACTTGGTATAGTGACCAGAGTTTTTGAGCATGCAGAATTGGGCTTAAATTCTAGGTCTGCAGCCTTGGGCAAGTTACCTAACCTGTCAGAGATGGTTTCCTCATCTGTAAAATGGGAAGCAGAATACCTATTTTTCAGGGATAATTTATGTATGTGCCTAGCTCACTGCTTGATAATTAATAGATACTAAGTAAATGGTAGCATTTGTTATTACAGACATCTTTGTGAACTATGGGCCATAAATTCTTCCTCTTGCAGATAAGGTAATTAAAAAAATAATATGAATGTATAATTCAGCTGTTGAGGATCAAACCCAAGTTTTTCTCATCAGCTTTTATTATATGTATGTATATAAATATATGTTAAGGAAACAGGAAGCTGAAACTACGGAATATAATTTAAAAAAAAAATAGAATTTAATCAGGTGGTTTTTTTGTTATGTTATCGGCCCATAGACATCTTAGTTAACACCTTGTTGTAGAGTCTTGTTATAAAACATTCCAATTTGAATGTACATTGCTGGAAAATGAGTACCTCAGATAAATATAATTTAATGATAGAATGAAGCAGATTTGAGAAATATGTATGGAAGAAGTTTAAAGGGGATTAGTAAAATTATTACAAGGGGTGACATGCTTATAATCATGTAGTATCCTTTAGATAGAAACATTTTTTTTTATATTGGTAAAATGAGCAGTTAATTGTTGAAAGAGTAGTAAAATTTCCTATTTCTAATTATTAAGACTAGTATAAATGAGGAATGCCAAACTATTAAGTACTATTAGAGTGATCTGAACTTCCTTACTTTCAGATGTTTACAGGCCATCATCTAAACTCTTCTCACTGTGCCCTAAGCATGATCTGCAAACATGATCTAGCTTCTGTCTCTCCATCACTCCTCTATTGTTGTGCTGTAGCCACATGGGCCTCTTTCAGTTCTCTGACCAGTTCTCTAAGCTCTTTCTTGCCTTTGGTTTCAGCTTAAATCATCTTTCCTCAGAGAGCTGCCCTCCCAAACTCCCTGTCTAAAGCTGGCCTCTGCCTTGTACTGTCATGCCTCTCTATCTCTGCTCACAGTCCTTATCACAATTTGCAGATATTTTATGTATTTACTGTCTATTTTCACAACATAAAGTCTATGTGTACAAGTATCTTGTTTTTCTTATCACATCTGTATCTTGTGGGCCTAGCACAATGTTTGGTACATATTTATTATGTGAATACATAATTTTGTTGCTAAATCCAGTGAAAACTCAGTTCTTGTTTCACTGCTTGGCCGTATTGATGATGTTGAGTACTTGCTCTTCTTTGAAACACTTTTTTTTTATTTTGGCTTTGGACATTTCACACTACTATTCTCTTACTTCTCTTGCTCTCAGTGTCCTTTGCAGGTTTCTCTTCTTCTGCCCATCCGTTAAATATTGGTGTTCCTTGGGTTCTACCTAGTGTTATTTCTTCACTCTGCATATTCTTTAGGGACTGTCACCAATACCTATGAACTTAATTACCATCTGTCTCTCTGAATTTCAAATCTCCAGCCTTGATCTGTTTCCTTCACTTCAGAGCTGTATATTCACCCATCTATTGGCATATCTCACAGTCAGTATATTCAAGAATGAATACTGTGTTTTCCTTAAAACCTGGTGGAGAACCTTCAAACCTTCTGTTTCTCATCTCATCCAAGTCAGAAACTAGAGTGTATAAATTCATCCTTTTCCTTATATCCAAACTGTCAATTACTGTCTTCTAAATAACCTTCCAGTTATATTATCATGTATCTATCCCATTCACGTTGCACTAATACTAATAAACATTTGCACTCTTATTCGGTATCAGGCAACATGCCAACTGCTGCATATTTAATATTTATTCTTTAGCAAGAATCCTGTGAAGATTTTTATCTGGATCATAGAAAACTGAGATGAAAAGAGAGTAAGTGTCTTAGTTCATTTATGCTGCTTTAACAGAATACTACAGACTGGATAATTTATAACGAACAGAAATTTATTTGGCTCACAGTTCTGGAGGCTGGGAAGTCCAAGAGTGTAGTGCTGGCATCTGGTGAGAGCCTTCATGCTGCCTAATCCAATTGCAGAAGGCAGAAGGGCAAGAGAGGGGAAGAGCAAGCAAGAGATTGAATTTACAGCCTCAAGTCCTTTTATAATTGGCATTAATCCAGCCCTCATGACCTAAACTTCTCCCATTAGGTCCCCACCTCCCAACTCTGTTGCATTGGGGATTAAGTTTCCAACATGCTTTTTTGTGGGGCACATTCAAACTATAGCAGTAAGCAACGTGTTCAAAGTTGTACATCTGATAAGTGGAAAATCTGGGATTTTGAATGCAGGCAAATGCAGAGACCTTACTCTTAATTGCTTTTATACTGCTTTCTAATTTGGGCCTCTATCATTTCAGCTTTACAAAGCTGTCTTATCTGGTTTCCCTGTCTCCAGTCTTGCATACTTGCTGTCTATTCTGTGCATTGCAGCCTGAGTAAGTTATCAAAAATGGAAAACAAATTATGCCACATCAGTGCTTAGAAACTCCTCACTGTTCTGGAGATGAAGGTCAAATTTGGTATTATGGCCTAGTAAACCCTGCATAATTTTGTTCCTCTGGCATCTTCTCACGCTACAACTACTGCCACTGCCACTGCCACCTCCCCCTTGCCACATTTTTAATGTAGCACACTTTTAGTGTAGTTATACTAATCTATACTAATGATTTTTGTGCTTCACATATGCAAAGTCTTTTCTAATCTAGCCTTCTTGAGCTCTTCCCCTGCCTGAGATATTGTTCTACTCACAAAGATACTTTATTTTAACTCAATAAAAATAGTTGTTGAATTGTAATAGTTCCAGTTAGAATCCAAGTTTGGAAATTTTGCTACTTGTTAAACTATGCCTTTTATTCTTGAAATTGTATCAGGAACATTATAGTTTTGTGTTTGTGTGTGTATGGGGAGGTATGTGTGTGAGAGAGAACTGGTTTCTTTTGTTTTTGTTTTTTTGAGACAGGGTATTGATCTGTCATCTGGGCTAGAGTGCAGTTGTGTCATCATAGCTCACAGCAACGTCAAACTCCTGGGCCCGGCCGGGCGCTGTGGCTCACGCCTGTAATCCTAGCTCTTGGGAGGCCGAGACGGGCGGATTGCTCAAGGTCAGGAGTTCAAAACCAGCCTGAGCAAGAGCGAGACCCTGTCTCTACTACAAATAGAAAGAAATTAATTGGCCAACTGATATATATATAAAAAATTAGCCGGGCATGGTGGCGCATGCCCGGGAGGAGTTTGAGGTTGCTGTGAGCTAGGCTGACGCCACGGCACTCACTCTAGCCTGGGCAACAAAGCGAGACTCTGTCTCAAAAAAAAAAAAAAAAAAAAAAAAAAAAAACTCCTGGGCCCAAGCAATCCTCCTGCCTCAACCTCCCGGGTAGCTGGGACTAGAGACACATATCACCACGCACAGCAAATTTTTCTATTTTTTTTGTAGAGATGAAGTCTCACTATGTTGCTCAGACTGGTCTCAAACTCCTGGCCTCAAGCAGTCCTCCCACCTTGGTCTCCCAAAGTGCTAGGATTGCAGGTGTGAGCCACCGCACCCAGCCAAGAGATTCCAAATATAT